TTAAAGGCATAGGGTGATCAGATCAAATGAAGAGCAACACTGTATGAGGAAACTGAAAAGGAGCTATTATGTGAAACAATCAAAGGGTAATACAGTAAGAAACGATAGTTGTAGAAATAGGAGAAAAATCCATAGGATGAGATAAGGGAACAGAGGAAGGTGGTGAACACAAAGAATGTCAGGAGGGGAGGGATCCAGAGAAAGACATTGTTGTGACATAAGGGAGTCATGTGAGAATCTAAGTGGGGGTGGTATGGATAGTGGGGAAGGAAAAGGGAATGGTTATGCACATGGCAGAAGAGAGGATGGGGTATATTTGGGTGAGTGGGAGGAAGAGGGGTAGAGGGAACTTGAGGAGGAGTAGGATGGATAGCAGCAGATACTTTGAATGTAGAGCAAATAGGAATAGAAAGATTAGAGAATGAATGAGGGAGTGAATTATTCTCTTGAGTCATGTTTAAGAACTTGGAAGTCTTCAAGAGTTTCTGGAGGGGAGTTGGGTGGGGAGGTCTCAGAAACAAAGGTTTTATGTGGAGGAGAAGAGAGAACAGATGATCAAGGAGCAGAGGAAGAGGTGGGTGTTTAGAGGATATGGTAGGAGAAGGTGGAGTGGAACGTTTAGATTGTCTGGTGCGACAGGTAGAGTAAGAAGTGTGACTGAGGGAGAGAGGGAGTAGAGATAGGACAGTTTGGAGTAGAGGGAAGAGATACTCGTGGAGATGCTGAGACTTCTTGAAAAGATGGGCGTGCTTCTTGTCTAGCCTTACATGCAGTGAGACATAGTTTGAATATGAGAACTGTTAACTCAAAGCTTGTAAGTAGGGCAGCTCTTATAAAATACTTTATGGGAGCCACCACAATTGGCGCACGAGTTTGACTGAGCAAAGTAATTTGAATGGTCATGACTAGGTTGGGCACATAAAGGGCAGCAGGCTGTGGAGTGACAGTGTTTGGCTGGGTGGCCAAAATGCCAACATTACTGACATTGATGGGGGAGAGGTTGATATTGTCAGACAGGGCAGGACACTCCTCCAATACAAACTTCGTGGGGGAGGTCATGTCTACGGTAGCTAATCTTGGCAATATTGATGAATATTGGTGTAGGACTTATGTTGGCCTCTTGGAGGAATAGTGTAGCATTAGAAAGCCACTGCATTATACGTCCTTGTTGTTGACAAGACAATCAGTTGGAAAGACATGAACCTGCCCTTGTGTTTTGGCTGAAGGCTGGGGTGATGGAAAAGACTCGCCATGAGTGCACAAACCTCTTAGGAGGTTTATTGGACTCGCTTGGCATTATTTCAATCAATGTACAAGTGTGGAATGTAATGTCTGTGAACAGTGACATGGAGGTTGTCATTTCCATGCTCAGCATTGTATTCCTGGTGCTGTGACCAGTGACGCAGGTTGTATTACAGAAAATTGAATATTATGAAAAAAAATTAAAATTACACAAATAACAAAGTATTCTACCTTTTATTTTATTGTTCGTGTGTGCCTGGCCTACAAGCTACCACCCTGCAGAGCAGCCACTCACATAACCCTAATGCCCAGATTTTGGTCATGCTATTTCAGTGACACAACCAAATCCAATGGGTTAAGGGAGGAGTGAGGTTGGGAACGAATAGGTTTGCCAGTGAGGTCAGTCAGGGTAGATGGTGCTCAAGCTTGGGACTCAGATGTAACCGTGACAAGGTGTGAATGATCAGACTGACAGTGAAAGGAAACTTTGCTTACCTGTTTTTGGAGGCATTTTTGGAAGACAAGGGTATTGAAAGAGAATGGGGCTGTTGGGGGAATCATCAAGAATTGATCCCACTTGACTGGGTTAAAAAGGGTTCTCAAAAGATTTGTAGAGCAGTAGAAGGATGAGGGAAGGAGGAAGATGGGGTGGTACTGTTGGGAGGAGGACAATAAGGATGGAGAGTAGTGATAAAGGGGATGGGGGTAGACAATAAAGAAGACTGTGAAGTAGAAGATGGAATGGAAGATGTTGATAGAGAGGAATGGGTGTATTCTGAAGACTGGGTAATGTCCTGGGTGGATGGTTCGGAATGGATAGTGCTGACCACAAACATTGTAGAGGGGGTATTAGTGTCAGTTGGAGCTGAGGTCGAAGGAGATGCAGGGATCAGGAAACCAATGAAATCAAATTTAGTTAGATGTTAGTCTTAATGCCCCTAATAAGTTAAAAAAAAACAAAAAACCTGCATTATTGGCCATAGTTAGGCAGAAATAAATGAGGGAAGGATATGGTCTACCCCTCTGGTTCTCCACAAGGGATAAGAGCTAGACAACCAAAGGAACACCATCCTGTGGCTCCCGAAGGCCTTTCATGACAGACACAAAACCAGCCTTTCATCCTTCCAGCATGGCTCTCACACCTTAGGGAGTGTACAGAAGAAGGGGATGATGAAAAAGACAAAGGAAGAAACAGTGGAGAGAAAAAAAAAAGACCGTGCAAAATTAGTTGAGGCGAGGGCTGTGGTCTGAGGAGGTA